AGTTCACAATTTAAAGGGGGCTGTTAGTGTGTAAATTGTGGTATGATGTGGCAGTTGGTTTCTAGCTCATATGGCTAGGATTGTGTGTATGCTTTCTTATTAAGTCTCATAGGTCTTAAACAAGTGAGTGTATATGTGTCTTCATCTCATAGGATGTAAGATGGATGGCTAGGATTGGATGGATGTAATTTGAATACTGCCAAGTTTAAATTGTAATAGCAATTAAGAGGAGTGAAACTTTTACTCACTCACTCTCGGTGGAATGAAACAGTGAAATCGTTTTGCAGAGTCATATTCTCTGCATTCTTCATCTCTCTCACTGCATCATCTTCTTTATTGGTGTAAACAGTTTTGAATTCATATTACCTGTGAGTCACAGCTCACAGGGAAGGTTAAATGTTTGTTTTAACACTAACATTAACGTACACGCCTTATTGTTTATTTATTGTTCTTAATTCAACTTTTACATTCGCTTTTATGTGTGTAGTTAATACGGAGTGAGAAAGGAATCAATGAATGCAAAATAACAATTGAGGAGTGAGAAAGGAAAAATAATTAAAAAAAAAGTGATGCTATGAGTTCGCATTCGTATCTTGGTATGATTTAATGATATCGTATAGTAGCGTTTTCCTCCAAAAAGAAAAAACCCAATAAAAACTAATGACTTGGCATCTCATAAACAAAGACTTGGCATGGGATTGGACTCAAAGCACGTGGAAAAGCCAGAACTCAAAAACGAAAAGCAAAAGCCATTGCCCTTGTACACACAAAAGGTCGTTCAAAGTTGAGAGATCATCAGCTATAAATATGCTCCTCTGTTTTTCATAACATCTCTTCTCTGCCAAGTCCTCATAATTTTCCACTTCATCAAATATAAACACACTTTTGTGTTTTTTCCTTTTTTTTTTCGGTCTCACGAGAAAACAAAAATATAAATTTATTTATTTGGATATAAACGAAGAGAAGCCGTTAGGTTTGTTTGGTTCCTAGGAGAACAGAAAAAACAGTCCTCCGAAAGCGTAGGCAGAGCGAGTGAGAAGGAAAATTTGGCTCCGAAAATTGATGGGATCACAAAAGTAGTAAACTGTAAAACTCCCAAAACATTAATCTCCCTTTTCTCTCTGGGATTTATTTTCAATTATTATTAGCGAAATTTAGATTTTTTTTTTTTGAAAAGAATCTCTCTTTGGAGAGCTAGAGCTCGCTGTGTTATTTCCTTCCGAAGCTCCCATGGCGTTTCTTCATCGGGTTTGCAGTTGATGTCCTCCCCCTCCTCAGGTAATTACATTTTTATTTGATATTCTCGTTTGGATTCATGGGTTGAAATTGTAATTATCAGATTTATTGGCTTCTTTTTTCTGTGTAGCATTTTGATAGTGGTTGTTTTTGGTCATTTGGGTTCTTTTTTATACTTTCTTTTGGGTTTTTCAATTTGTAGATCTTGATTTGTGAAGTCAAATTATCACATCTGACATTGAACTGAAATTACATTCCTAGAGGGATGAAATTATATATTTGATTGAAATTTCATAAGGAAAGATAAAAGGATTCACTTTTCAAAATACAGAAATATTACCATTTTGCTATTTCATCTTATATGAATGTAAAATCTCAGAAATCGATGTAGGGATGGTTAAAGTTTGGAACTTGGTTGCAGACGTGGGTTTTAGCACGTTGGCAGGGGCGGATGTGCTTCTCTCTTATGTACCCAAGTTCTAATCTCCTTCCCTGGAGATCGGATTAGCTTAAAGTAGAATATCGTTTATAACATTGTGTCAAGAAAACAAAAAGTTTGGAACTTGGTTGTATACTTTTGGTATGGTAGATAATAATGATGTTGATGATTTGAATTATAATGATGATGGTGAATTGAATTTAATCCTTTCATAGTGGAAGAATATCTGATGAGACCTTGTCGTGTGGAATCGTACAATCTGATTTCTTTGTTGGGATTCTTTCAACAATTGTGGTAAAACCAGTAGCAATGAATGAAAATGGTGGCACCAAGTTGACCGGAATCAGGCAGATTGTCAAGTTCAAAGAAATTCTGCAGAAGTGGCAAGCTGTCACGCTTGGCTCGAGGGCAAACAGCCCCCGAGCCAAAAGTAGTCCCCATTCTGAAAAAAGAGAAGGGGAGAGCACCACTCCCCGTTCTGAACGAGGCCATGGGGGCATTTCACCGGCAATTAGCAAGAGGCTAACAAATGTTATTTGTCATTCCGACGAGGATATATGCCACAGTCCCGAACCGCCACCTGATGTCCCCCAAGGGTATTTGGCGGTGTATGTTGGACCGGAGCTTCGGAGGTTCATCATTCCCACTAGCTACCTCAGTCACTCCCTTTTTAAAGTATTGCTGGAGAAGGCTGAGGAGGAATATGGGTTTGATCATGGCGGCGGGCTCACAATCCCATGTGAGACTGAGACCTTCAAGTACCTCTTGAAGTGCATGGAGAACCATCAGAAAGCTCACCCTGATGACATCCCAGGTAAAAAAACCACATACTTTACCAGTTACCTTTACGTTTTAGTGCCTTATAGATCAAGTCATCATCCTCTTTGATACCCATAATGAATTCTAAAACTATCTAAACGCCAGTATATCTCAAGTCAATCACACACTCTCACACGTTTCAACTTAATTTCTCATATGGATGTCCGTAATTAAGATAAAATAACGACACAGTGACATCACATGTGCGTAAAAGTACTCCGGAAATAGGTTCTTGATTCATTTCAATTTGATGGGTCATGGATCCACATTGCATAAATAATATTTTTGTTTTCTTCACGAAATAGGTTGCTAGTTTTATTGATGTTAATTTGGTATTGTTGGTGGTTTTGCAGCTGGAGACTGGAAACTCATTCAATGAAGAGTAAGTGATCGTGATGAAGCTTTTTATTAGTGGTCCAGGTTTTTAGGGGTGTGGTTTTCTGGTGTAAAAGCAGGGTCTCTCCTTGTATTCAGACATCTTTTTATTTTTCTCTTTTTATTTTTAATTTTTAATTAAAGAACAATTAACTAGAGAAACTTTAGTTAGATATTTTTAAAGGTGTGGTGCCTACAATTTGGTGCTTAGAGTGGTGGTATTGTTAACCTCTCTATTTTCTCTGATTGAATGTTACCTACATCTGATGTTTGATCCTCAAAGTATGAAACACATTTGTCACAATATATGCCAAATATTAATTAATTTCCTAATAAATATATGGTTATAGCTAACAAGTTCTAGCCAGCTTAAGAAATGATTTTACACGCCTTTTTTCGCCTCCACTATCTTTGTTTACTTATGTCTCTTTATTTTCTTTTGTTTATTCGATTCAAATGTCAAAAATAAACATGAATGTGCATAATAAGAAACATCGTTTCGGGTGATAATTTGATGTCACGTGCTTAAGGACAATATCCATGTAAAATCTCTCACCTTCTCTCTTCACATGGTTTCCAGGATCACAATCCTTAATCTACATAATTATTTTTCCAGTGGCCGTTGCTAATTAAGGTCATAGTTAATATTATATACAACCTGATGGCAGTTATCATGTGAAGGACCAAATCAAACTGCAGACTTTATTTTAATGAGATATACAACTTCATAATCGATAATAGCTAAAAATCTCTCATCGTCTATTAGTACAAAGACCGCATTGTATAGGACCTACAAAAGGTTAAACTGCTTGAGCCTTGGAATCGTGTACTTTTTTTGTTTTTGGGTTACATAAAAGGGTGAATCATCATAAACTAGCTCAAAGAGTTGTTACAATTAAGGTGAATCCTAAAAATTCCATCATATCATCACATAAACAATCTATATTTAGGTTGATTCTCAAAACATTGGTACCCGAGATTTATATTACAACTCCAATTAACAAGATCATTTGTAATCATGTTTTTACTTTAGTATACATGAATTAATTTGCAATAATCAATACATGAATAAAATTGTCTGCAACACTGCACCAATACATTATGAGGAGTGACATTCGTACTCTCTTTTATCTTTATGCACTCGTCTTCTTAATCTATGCATTACAATTATTCTTTTATTTATTCAATTCAATAGTTTAAAAAATTGTAAGAAGTGAAAATAGGAGTTCATAAATCATTCTCTTACAAGAGAACTGTGCAAGCAAAGGGTCGATTTGAGGGGTGGGGGTGTTGTCTGTCTGGGTTGGGGGAGAGAAGCTTTTCCGCCGCACTGCCGCAGCAGGAATAATCATAAATCATACAAAGCCAAGTTTTCAAATTAAAAGGCTAGGCTTCTTCCAGGGAATTATAGTCTTTAATTTTGCATTCCGGGTTGTACATGTCGGCCAACTTGGATCACATATCAAAGATTACGAAGAGGAAAATTATAGCCAAGTTGGAACTTATTTTGGAAGCCCATTTTACCCAACACTCCGCAATGCCTCATTGATATTACTACCGGGTTAATCGTTTCGAGGAAATATGTACACATAAGCTTCTAAAGGTACCAAAAAATTTCATCACTCTACAGCCAATAGAAATATGCATGATAGGATTGAGATAATGTCACTTTTGCGTCTTTGTGGCATGCAAATTTCTCTGCCATTGACATATATGCTTAAACCACACTAGAATTACTGGCACGGTTGGAACTTAATGCGATAATTTAGAATAGAGGAGGTGGAAGAAAAAAAAAATTAGTTGTGGTCCTTGTGGAAGAGAGAAAATTCGTAGTAAATAGTTGTTTAGTTACAATGATAATTATATGATGTGGTATAACTCCTAGCTAACCCCAAGGGATTGGTCTAGTGGAAACGAGCAAGGAGTTGAAGCCTCCAATTCGAGTTCGAGCTCCCATGGATGCATGCATTTTGGGGTCATCAGGTTTGTTTTGGTGTAAGGTTTGACCGGGAGACAAAAATATGACCGCCTCGTACACTATTAAAGCTGCATGAGGATGTGGATTAGTTTGTTACCAATGTGTGATGAGTTATCTCCTCTATTCAAGAAAAAAATCAAATACTATGTGGTGTATAGAAACCCCAATTTTCACTAAATAATCTGCTTTTCTTGCAAAGTTACAAGCTTACAACATGGGGTAAACTACATACAAATGGTAAGACACTTACAGGAGAGCACATTAATGCTGGCCTGGCTAGTTTCCTTTGACCTTCAACCTAGTATTCCTCATTTTATTTACTACATTGAACACACATATATATACTGATGATATGAGCAGTATACATATATATAATTCAGAGCTTGGGAGGTGGGAGAACCCACTTTGTTCCTTTGATGAAAGTCAGGCTGAGAAAGGGCTTTGCTTCTTCATCAGATAACATTCTTGCATACTTGACCCGACCCGATGAGCTCGAACCCGGTCCCATACACTTGTACTCTCCATAATACACAGTCCTACAACAAAATCACCATCATCGTCGCTTAAACTTATCATTTGTATTTTTAATAAAGTTAATATACATGTTATATATTCTTATTAGACTGTCTTATGATGCACATATATATTTAAATTATCGAACAATCATGTTAATTTTTGCTTGAACATAAATTTTTAGTGTGACATTATAAATCTAGCAAGATAACATTATTAAGAGGGTGCTTACTTATCGCGCTCGGTATGCATGTAGTCAGACCATCCTTGTTTATTGATGAGAGAGCCCATGTATGCGTAAGCAAACACAACCCTAGGTCTCTCCCTCCAAGCTCGCCCAAGAAATGTGTCACCTGTCCCCGTTATGTTGCAATGCACAAACGCAAAACCACTATCGTCTTCCACATTTTCCCTAGCATGTGCCGTTATCACCCCCATACCATTTGCAACTGAATGTATCGTATTATTCTGCAATACAAAATATTCATTAATTCTGAATCTAAAACTAATAACAATATTTACGTACAGTTATAAAATTGTATTCTAATTTGGCTAATTAATTGGGTTAATTTTAATTATTCAACGAATTACCAAGTAGAGGGATTTGCCATTGCCAAAGATGAAATCGACCGTGCCTTGGACGTGGCAATCCTTGAAGAAATGTCTCCCCCTATCATCCAATAACGTGTCCTGAAATCCTATGAACCTGCAGTTGTGGAACGCTGCCTTGTCTCCTGATATCCTCATCGCCACCGCCTGTGCCCCCGGCCTTATTCCGTCCGGCATCGGAGCTGAATTCTATAAAAAAAACAAACACACCATGCATGCATGATCATCATTAGTCGAATTATAGAACTCTTTATTTTACAAACTTAAAAGAAAAATATAATTGAATAAACTGGTAGTTAAAGCTGATTTATTCATCTTCACATGTTTTTGCCCCTCCTAGTCCCTATTAAAATCGTGGGGTTTTTTTTTTTTTTTTCTTTTTCTTTTCTCTGTCACCAGGAAAGCTGCCGTGTCTATAGATATTTTGGTTTTGCAGATTAGCATTTTCCATGCTGCAGTTTACACTTCTGGCCATTTTTGTGACTAGGTCATGATTAAGTTTCATCCACAAACCATCAAACGATATCCATCAATTAATATCATCGTATCTCATATGTATAACGCGTATCATTAATATTTTCATTCACACAGCTTCAATCACAGTGGCTTGATGATATGCAGATCTACACCTAACTCAAGTTCAGATTCACCTTTTCGTAGCTTAGATTAGATAATCAAAATATCGTTTACAAATAAAATAGTGCCTTGATGACGTAATGACTAGCGTTTCAAAAATGTACCATATGATGATGAAGTAAGATTGTAAGATTTTAATTAGGGCAACTAATTTGTTAAAGAAAATATTGCATTGCTAGTGTTTTTAAAGGGAAGCAACAACCAAAACATGTCCAAGACTCCAAACCTATTTCAGGGAAAGGTAATAAATCTTAATAGCCAGATCCATTCGTCATACTTTTCCTAGGTCTATCTCTCCATTCCCTCATGACCTCATCACTGAAAATAACCACAAACAATGCCATATATGCATTCCGTTTTGTGTTCTTTCTTTTTCTTCAAGACAGCTAGCAATAGATATAACAACACAAAATGTGAAAAATAAAACAAAAGAACAATTTTTTCTTTATGGAAAATAATAAAAGTATTTGAACATACAAAATTAACATATTTGTTAATACTCTCTAATACAGAGCGGATCATTATATATGAGTTCCTCCTATCTATTAAGGGTAATGATATTCACATACTCCTTTTTACCTCCTACACACTCTTGTTAATTTTTCTCTATTGATCTTCTTCAATTTATGTAATCCGACAACCGAAGAATTGAGAGAAGTATGTGAGAAATAAAAATAGATGTGTGGATAACATCATCTTATATTAAAGAGTATGTCAACAAACAAATATGTCAATTTTATTTGTCAAAATAGCATCGCCAAATAATAACGCACATGCAGATCAAATATCATGTTAAGAAATTCCAACGACCAAAAAAAATAAAATCATGTTAAGAAACGACATCAGAATTAAAAGAATTATGAACAAAACGCAAAAACCATCATGACATGATATTATAACTCACCACGAACGCAATATTGACGGCCACGAAGTAGTCGGACTCCACCGCCACCGTGGAACTATTCCACGTCCCGTACTTCAACGCCGTGCCATCGAACGTGATTGACGGCACGTCGTTCTGGTCCCCGTAAAACGTCACGAACGGCTTTGACGCGTCAACAAGAACCTTCTCCGTATACACGCCCCCGCCGATGAAAACCACGACGCGCCTTGTGTTCCCAGAAGGAATGCTGTTGACTGCGTCTGTGACGGTTCTGAATTGGCCGGTTCCGTCTTTCCTGACGGTTATGATTCTGACAATTTCCTCGGCAGAGAGAAGTTGGGCGTCGAAGCGGAGAGTGGTTTGGGTGGCCTTGCGGTTGGCGTAGTCCCTCATGTTGTGGGCGATCCACGAGTCGAGTTGGGAGAAGTTAGGTGGGATGAGGTTGGGGCGACTCAGCCCGAGTTGAGGTGAATTTATGAAGATGTTGAGAACCAGAAGAAATGCTAATAGTGGTGCCATTAGTGAATTCTTGGATCTTGAAAATGTTTAGGGTTTGATTGATTTGATGGGTGAGGAGTTGGTGGTGTGGGAATGTTTAGAGAGGGAAGGAATTTAGAAAGTGGAAGAACAAAAATAAAAGACGTACGGACACAATGCTATACGTGCAGCTTGTTCCTGAATTTCATGCTTTGGTTTTAAATGATTTTTTGGATTGTTGTATATGCTTATATAAACTTGGTGTTGGTGAGGATGCAAGAAAAAGAAAAAAGTTCTTGCATCTCTCTTGTATATGTTACACTCGTCATGATTCTTGATTTAACTCGTGTACGAGTTATGAGGATGGTTCGTGTGATCAGAGTTTTCTTGAAGGTACAAGGAAGAAGAGAATTTGTATTCTATGTAAAAAAAACGTGTCACGTGGTAGAGTTATGTAACAAGTTATGTGGTTGGGAAATTGTGTACAACAGTTGTACGTATGCAAGAATTTTGGGGAAGGTAAATATTTAAGGTGGCTACTGGTTTATGAGTTGCGAATTAGGAGGTGAAGAGGTTGGAGGAATCTGGGTAAAAGGAGGGTTTGGGTGGACAAAGAGGAGAAGTTGGTGAATGACAATATGAGAGAAGTAACAGATGAAGTTGATTTCAGTAGGAAAAGGGGAGGTTGGCAGCAGAGTAGCAGTTTTTTTTGCCACGCCCAAAATAGCAGAATGTCAACTGCTTCTTGGGAAACAGCGTTTGCAATTTTAAGCTATATGGACTTGGATACAGTTTGGGCTGAGAGTAGGAACTCTAGCCCTTTCTTAAGGGATTCATAAACTTAACACGAGGGCTTCTCACTGAAAAGAGAGTGAAGGTGTTTTAGGTTGGGCTAAGAAGCAAATTAGTGCTGCGGGCCTAATGTTTGAGCATTGTTATACCTTTCAATATCATGATTTCAATCACTACAATGCTAGAGCAAACATGCATTCTCTAGCATTGTAACGAGGACATGCTGAAAGGGCATGTTTACTTATTAGGAGTGGCGTGTATGCAAGGAGTGGCGTGTATGCAAGGCAGTGGTAGATTCATGAATCGTATAATTAGTCAATTTTTGCTGAGTTTTGTCAGTGAGGCATTTTGCTTATAAAAAAATTTGGGGTTCCATCATGGAAGTAGCTCAACCTCTTATAAAGGTTTCTCCTTTCACCGATGTATGACTCTCTTACCTTCACATCATTACACGCTCCTTCACGTGTGATGAATTTTCAAGCCAAACACGTGGATAATACAAATTGGGTGATATGGAGCACATGTGGCCGTTGGCTTCACATGTGGGCCAACTTGCACTGATACCATGAAGAAAGTTGGAATTCCACCATAAAACTAATTGGTAATATGGGGAGTAGCCCAACCTCTTATAACCCTTGTAAGGTTTCTCCTTGGGGTTTTTGAACATTAGTCCTTGAAAAAGAAAAAAAATCTGGTGCTAGATTACATATTCAATTTAATCCCTTGAAGTGTACTTTTACCAATTTTTATTATTTAATGTGTATTTTTTATTTAATCTCTCCACGTTAAATTTTAATTTTATTAATATGCACATATTTAGTTTTTTTTAATTATAAATGAACGTAAATGAGAAAATATCAAAAGAAATTTGTGATACAAAAATATATAAATACATAAGTGTACATGTCACAGCCCGTCCCGGGAATTATATATCGGGGACGTGAATTGACAGGTTTACCCTTGACGTTACTAAGGTATGTGTGCGTAACGTTATTTGGGTTAAATTATTATAAGTTTTGGGGATAATTGGGTTTGCATTTTTGTTTGTATGGTTAGGATGAAAATGGATGGTGTGGATTAGTTTGGACCACACACAGGACCTCTCTCTCCCTCTCCTTCCCCGTGTCTTCTCTGTCTCTCTCCCTCACGATCTCTCACACTCCCACACACCCAAATCCTCCAAAAACTCGACGGATCGAGGCAACCAAGGTATGCATCTTCATCCTTTTGACGTTCTAAGTTCATTGGTACTAGTTTTAGGAAGTGAAACCTTCGAAATCACGTGGAACCCGAACCTCCATTTTTGAGTTACTGTTCATGCACACGTAAAATGTCGTGTTTCAGGGAATTCTAAGCTTATAATGAGCTTAGTGAGGTCCCAAGGAAGCTTGAAGTGCTTCGTTGGAAGGATTTGGACGTCGGGATCACGTGGTTCCATTTTGGCCGAATTTCTTGGGAATTTTCCGGTGAGATTTCTTGATTTTTAGAGCCTTAAACTAGTCTATCGTGATTCTTCATGTTTGGGGCTTCAATTTGGTATAAAATATGAAGAAAATGGGTGAAAAACGAAGGAGAACGAAGAGTTTTAAAACTCGCCGGAAAACGGCCGCCGGAAAAACCAGTCTGGCGAGCCAAGGAAGAAGGAGATGCGCGTGGGGGGCACGTGGACCCGTGCCACGCGCGGCGCGTGGGGGCGCATGAGACCTCCAAAAAAATTTCTAAAAATTTCCCAACGCTCGTGACGTCGAGTAGGTCGATGTGGTATATTCATATACCCAATTTGAGCATCGTATGAGAAGTTATTTCGAAAAATTGGTGATGGGTTTAAAATTAACGTTTTTATAGTTGTTTCGCATATAGGTGACACATATCCCGAGGACGAGCGCATCCAGGGACGCCACGGGGGTTACGACCCGTCGACTTATCAGTGAGTGGGCAGTTTTGATTTCGTATTTACCTATATACATTTATTTTCCCAGAAAATACGTTTTTATGAAAGTTATGAATTTAATTGCCATGCATGAAATTATTGAAATATCTAGCTTGAGTATTGATGCATATATATATGAAATTACGCGGTGGACGCTCAGGTGAGTTTATTTATTATTCAGCTGGGTTATTTATGTGAATTGCATTGAAAGCTCATAACCTGCACCTAGGTGATAGTGCTTATATTGTTATTCACCACACCGCACGCTCGTCTTGGATCCAAGTAGGTGGATGTCGTACAGACCATGTGAGGGTTCCGACATGCTAGTTGTACAGATCACTAGATGTGATTCCAACTAGTGGGTGACCTTAGTTATGCGCGCTGATGATTGATGTGAGAAGCACTAGAGCGTATTCATACACCTGTCATCGTACAGACTACTATATGTAGTTCTGAGTGACGTGCAGAGTTGAACCGTACAGGTCACCGAGGTGACTCCGATTGGATTGGATGTTGAGCTTTAGAATCAGCCGTACAGGACCATTGTAGGGTCTCCGGTTGATTTATTATTCACCTGACTATTTTTGATGCATTCTGATTATATTTTGGGCTTGGCATATCATTTCTGAGATATTATGATGATGAATATATGTTGAGTTATGAGGTTGCCTATATATATATGTTATATACTATTTTCTGGGAAAGTATACAGGTTTTTACGGCGAGGGGATAGAATTATTTTTAATGAACCGTTTTGGAAAACTATTTGATTTTACTGACCCACTCATTTTGTTTTGCGCCCCTCCAGGTTCTAGTTAGCAGTTGGTGGCTCTCGAGGTCTCTTTTCCGGCAGTCTGACAGACTCTTGACATGTAGGACTCACCTGAGGGTGTTGAAATTTTATTTTAGTCCTACTTGACTGCACTTAAACCTATGCTCTGAATTCACCTGTTTGCTTTATAACCCGTCCTGTTATTCTAGTAGGTTGTTCTGCTAGAGTTTGGTTTGAATTCCTTCTTATGTATGTTAGTGTTTTGCTTCCGTGTCGCGCTTATGGTTACGTCACACTCACGTGACGCCCAGCACGCCTTGATGCTCTGAGTCGGGGTGTGTCAGTACAAAAATGACTATGCCGAAATATATAAAATTGACTTTTTTTGTACCGAAATGTTTGTACCTACATGACTATACCAAAATATATTATAATGAACCTAAATGTATGTACCGAAATGTATTATATTGAATTAATGTACCTAAATGTCAATACCGAAATGTATGTACCAAAATGTACGTACCGAAATGTATGTACCGAAATATATTATATTGAATTAATGTACCTAAAAGTCAATACTCAAATGTGTGTACCAAAATGTACGTACCCAAATGCATTATATTGAATTAATGTAACTATATGTTTGTATCGATGGGATATAACGAAATATTTAAATGTAGTAATGTACCTAAATGAAGAACATACAAAATTGTTATTGGAATATATATTATAAAAAAAATAAAAAATTAGTTGCCTAAATGTAGACATTAAAATATATTATGATAAATAAAATAAAAATTAAATTTAAATGTAATTAATACATTAAAATAAAAAATAAAAAGATAAATAAAACATCAAAATATAACTAATAAATGAGATGATTAAATGTACTAGGGACTAAAATTGGATTTCAATCTTACACAAGATTATAGTCTAAAACTCATCTTTTTTAAGGACTAAAATAAAGTTTTCTATTTCTCGTTTCATTGATGTAAGACTCTTTTACCTTCACATTTTTATAATTCAAACACTTGGTGGATCTGTCCACATCTAATGAGTCATGATGTTGAGACATGTACATCTTCCAAGCTATGATGTTGAGGCACGTTGAAATCTGTCCCAGTCGTCGAGGCTCGTTGAAATCTGTCCCAGTCATTTTAAAAAGGGTAAATATCAGTTTACTACCTTCATGTTTCGTGGTTTTCAACATTTAGTACATCAAGTTTTTTTCATCCCAGAGTCATACCTAAAGTGTTAATCTTGGGACAGTCTCATACATCCGTTAGTCAAACTGTTAAATTTGCCGTTAACTGATGACATGGTGCCTATGTGGACAATGACTGGGCGCCACGTGGAATTTTTTTTGAGAAGGGGTTCAAAAAAACAAAAAACCGAAACAAAGCAACCTCTGTTCTCTCCTCCTTCCTTCCTCCCTTCTCACTTCTTCTTCCTTGTAAAATCCCAAAAACAAAGCAACTCTCAGACGCAGAAACCAAAAATGGAGAAAACCCAAGATTTTGCTCTGGCTTAGATGAAGACATCAGTGGTAGAAAAATCTTCTTGCAGGGTTTGTCCAAGGCGGGCTCGGGCTTTGATTCCTGCAAAGTAGGCGGGCTCAGGCTCTGAGAAACCGGGGCGCTGTCGAGGAACATCACGGTGGTGGTAAATGGGTGGTGTAGCGGAGAAGATCAGGTCGGGGTCGGGATCTCTTCAATAAACCCTAGAAATTGTAGAGAAGATCGGGTCAGGGTCGGGGTTGGTACCGGAAACCCTAGAAATTGCAGAGAAAAAGGGAAAGATGATTTCTCTCATCCGTATTTGAAATTGGGAAAATATTGAATCTTTGCTGGATTGGAGAATGGAGTGAGGTACAAAGAGAGGTAGAGAGAGAGAGAGAGAGAGAGAGAGAGAGGTAGAGAGAGAGAGAGGAGAGAAAGGTAGAGAGAGAGAGAGAGAGAGAGAGAGAGAGAGAGAGAGATGAGAGAGGAGAGTGAGGTAGAAAGCGAGAGGGGGAGGGAGAATGGAGGGAGAAAGGGTGCGGGGGTAGAAGACGGGTTTCCCTTCTTTTCTTTTCTTTTTGAACCCTTTCTCAAAAAAAAAAATCCACGTGGACCCCTTAATGACATGTGG